GGGTAAAGAATAATCTTTTCAACAAATGGTACTGGGATAACTGTATATCTACATGCAAAGGAATGAAGTTGAATCCTTACCTTACACCACGTACAAAAATTAACTTGAAATGGATTGAAGGTCCAAATGTAAGAGTTAAAACTATAAAAAGCTTAGAAGAAAATACAGGTGTAAGTCTGTAATTCTGGATTAGGCAATGGTTTCTTAGATATCACACTAAAAGCACAGCACCAGAAGAAAAAATATAAAAACTGGACTTCAACTAAACTAAAACTTTAGTGTTTCAAAGGACATAATTATGAAAGTGAAAAGACAGGGCAGCCTGGGTGGCTCAGTGGTTTAGCGTCTGCCTTCATCCCAGGGTGTGATCCTGGAGACCCGGGATTGAGTCCCATGTCAGGTTCCCTGCATGAAGCCTGCTTCTCCCTCTGCCTGTGTCTCTGCCGGTCTCTCTCTCTCTCTGTCTGTCTCTCATGCATAAATAAATAAAATCTTAAAAAAAAAAGTGAAAAGACAACCCACAAAAAGGGAGAAAATATTTGCAAATCATATATCTGATAAGGGGTCTAGTATTCAGACTATAAAAGGACTTTTACAACTCAACAAAAGGATAACCCAATTTAAAAATGGGCAAAGAATTTCAATTGATATTTCTTCAAAGAAGATACACAAATGGCCAATAAGCACATGAAAAGATGCTAATGTCTGAGTCATCAAAGAAACAAATACAAACTAAAACCATAGTAAGGTAGAATGCCTATAAAAAAAAGGCATTGGTAAAGGTATGGAAAAATTGGAACCCTTGTACATTGCTAGTGGCAATGTAAAATGGTGTAGGTACTCATGGAAAACAGTTTAGCAATTCCTCAAAATGTTAAGCATAGAGCTACCCACACAATATAGCAGTTCCACTCCTAGGCATATATGTGAGAATTAAAAACATATTCATACAAAAACTCGTACATGAATATCCATAGCATTATTCATAATAGTTAAAAAGTGGACATAACCCAAATGTCATCAACTGATGAACAAATAAACAAAATGTGGTATATTCACACAATAGAATATTATTCAGCCAGAAAAAGGGAGGAAGTACTGATACAAGATATTGCAAGGATGAACACTGAAAACATTAAGCAAAGTGAAGAAAGCCAGTCACAAATGGCCACATATTGTATGATTCCATTTATGTGAACTGTCCAGAATAGGCAAATCCATAAAGAAAGTAGATTAGTGATTGTTAGGGAAAGGAGAAGTGAGTGCTAATGAGTAGGAGGTTTCATTTTTTGGTGTGATGAAGATGTTCTGGAACTACGGGTAGTGGCTGCATAGTCTTGGGAACGTACTAAAACCCACCGAATTATATGCTTTAAAAGGGTGAATTTTGTGGTATGTGAATCATACCTTAATATTTAAAAAGGGGACAGATATGAGCTATATCTTAAAAGGTGTGCTCATTGGGCAGACAATAGTGGGAAGAGAATTCCAGGCAGAAAGAACAGAAAGAGAAAAGGGATGGAACACGCCCCCCCCCCCCCCCAGTAACGCATCCAGGGAAGTAGAAGTGGCTCAAAGATGGAACACCTGGGTGGCTCAGCGGTTGAGCGTCTGCCTTCGGCCCAGGGCATGATCCTGGGGTCCCAGGATCGAGTCACACATTGGGCTTCCTGCATGCAGCCCGCTTCTCCCTCTGCCTGTGTCTCTGCCTCTCTCTCTCTTTGTGTGTGACTCTCATGAATAAATAAATAAAATCTTAAAAAAAAAAAGAAATGGCTCAGAGGCTAGAATATAGGTATATGTGCAGGAGTGGCATATATAATGGGACAGATAATGAAAGTGGGACAGATAATGAAAGCCCTGCATGCTTCCCAAGGATGGGGTCATGGGGTGCCTTCAAGTGAGAATAGGGCCTCTTCCTAGGAGAATGACAAAACTGAATTGCTTAGCTCAACTCATTTTGTCAGAGAAGCCTCCTATCTTCAACTCAGAATCATCTAACAATTCCACTCCAAGTGGGCAGGCCCAACACTCATTTTCTCACTATTTATAAAATCCACTTATTTACAGAATCAATCATTCAAAGTTTTCTCCCTACAGATTATAAACTCCTCCAGGGCAGCCCATTTCCTGTTTTTAATCTTGACTATGTGAGCGCAAGTACCGAGTACTCTGGGAAAGAGACTCGCAATTTTGGCAAAGTTCTGAGCTTTCCTAACTTTATAAATCTTTGCTCAGATTGTCACCCTGTTTGGAACACCCTTCTGATCACAAATTTGTTCAAAACTTCACCATCCGTCATGGTCTATTTCAAATGCCACTTCTTAAAAAGGCTTCTTTGCTTCCTCACCTGGCATGAAGAGATACGAACCCTCCTCTTTTAAAGAGGGCATATTTTGTACTTTCCCCCATAATTTATATTGCTGTTTTGAGCATTCCTCTCATCTCACACATCTCTTACCCTACACTATGTGGAATCTAAGCACCCTGGGGTAAGGTCCATGGTCTTTCCCGACTTTGCAACTCCCAGTACCATGCTGGGTAGAGTCCGAATTGAACTGTCCAACCAAAGGCAAAAATGATGGAACCAGAGACAAAAATAAGCATTATCACAAAACCAAAGTTTTAAAAAAACCTTAAAAGAAACTATACAAAACAGGATGCAGGCACAAATAACAGAGTATATGTTGAATCAATTTGTGACCACTTGGCTTGTTTATATCTGGTCATTTTCATCACATGGATTTCATTTCACTAAAACTCCAAAGACTCAGACAAAGAGTAATAGTCTCCCAGCTGCTGCGTTCCCTAGTCTGTGGTTTTCCTATGATATAAACAAAAGATTCTGGAGGTATGGTCTCTGTTAATATTTGCTGGTGTGAGTCTGGAGGAGAAATGGGTGGAGGCGGGGGGAGTGTGAGGGAAATCCACTAATGAACTGACAGTTCATAAAAGCAACACCTGGAGTGTTAAACCCCCTACAACTGTTATTTCACTGGGAAAAAAATCCACTCTTCCTTTGGTAAATGTAAAAATTCTTTCACCAGCTGCATTCCAATCTAAAGTGTGTGGCAGTTCAGGAGAGATGGCAGCTGGAACAGATCACATGCAGGATATAGTGAATGCTCACCAGCAGTGAAGGGATAATCAGAGCCCACAGAATGAATCTTCAGAGCCTGTTCCTTTAAGAAAAAGGGTTAGCCTCAATTTGCCTGCATATGTTCTACTCATAAACACCAAGAATCCTGGAAATACAGGTGGAAGGATCAGCCTTTTGAATAGACACTGTGACATCAGCTATTCAGGACTCCCCACTTAGCTTCATAAAACTCTGCAGCTTAAGTTTTGGTTTGTATCCTATTTTCGTTAAATATTTACAATCTACTACGAAACCAAATTCAGACCAAATGTGTGCTTACACAACCTTGTGACATGGCCACTCCTCCTGATAAGAGGGAAAGAGCACCAACACTAGTTGTCCTCAGGCCACTCTCTTCGTGCTCTGTCCTTGTAACAGTGGGAGGCAGAGAGGCACATTGCACATACCTAGGAGTTAACTTGGGCGCAGAGAGGTTATGTGCTCAACACCCACAAAGGAATGAGGAGAGTTAGGTTTGACTCCAAAGCCAGTGATTTTTCCACTGTACTGTGCTACTGGCCAGTATGCTCCAAAGAAGTTCTTTCTCCAGAGTTTGTAAGAATGCTACAAGAGTCTGATAACTTGAGAACAAGCACTGGCAAACATCTACTATAAAGGGCCAGACAGTAAATATTTAAGGCTTTTTGAGCCATATGGTCTCATTACTTAATTTCTTGTTAATTAGTTAATTCTGCCATTGTAACACAAAAGTACCCTTAGAAAGCATATACATTGAATAAGCATGGCTGTGTTCCCATAAAACCTTATGTACAAAAACAGGCAAAGGGTAAGACTTGGACTACAAGCTGTAGTTTGCTGAGCCCTGCTCTAGAAATTCTAGAGTGGACAGCTTCATATCATTTAGATTAAAAATCAATAAAGAGGGCAATCCAGGTGGCTCCGTGGTTTAGCGCCACCTTCAGCCCAGGGCATGATCCTAGAGACCCAGGATCAGGTCCCGTGTTGGGCTCCCTGTGTGGAGCCTGCTTCTTCCTCTGCCTGTGTCTCTGCCTCTCTCTGTGTGTGTCTCTCATGAATAAATAAATTAAATCTTTAAAAAATAATAAAATAAAAAAATCAATAAAGAACTGCGTATTTCCAACTTAACTAATCAAGAAACAAGAGTCTTCTATATCCTATATGGTCCAGGTACTTTGAGAATTTACATTCTTTTAGGAAGAAAAGATACGGGCACATAAAAGCCAAATAGTAACACAAGGCAGCACGTACTCCAGGAGGGGACTGAGGACCCAGGGTTGACTGATGTGCCACCACATTAGAAAACCAAGGTCCACAACCTGATTAAATAATACTGTACTGATACAGGAGCTCAGAACGAGTCATGAGTTACTGCTGTAAGCAGCAACAAAAACACTCATTCTAGTGTGACTACATTAAGGTTTTTAGCACGTGTCAGATGTTGAACAAAGACATGTCCTATTGACTTACCAAACACACCTACTCCCTGTCTCATCCCCAGAGGACAAGCAGTTCACCTAAGGGACAAGATATATGATCTGCTCTTAGCTGACACTTGAAGCAGTGAAGAGCCTGAAGATGCTCCAGGCAAGGGCTGACAGAAACCACTTCGGGTCACTCTTTTTTTTTTTTTTAAATTATTTATTTATGATAGTCACAGAGAGAGAGAGAGAGAGAGAGAGAGAGAGAGAGAGAGAGAGAGAGGCAGAGACACAGGCAGAGGGAGAAGCAGGCTCCATGCACCGGGAGCCCGACGTGGGATTCGATCCCGCGTCTCCAGGATCGTGCCCTGGGCCAAAGGCAGGCGCCAAACCGCTGCACCACCCAGGGATCCCTCGGGTCACTCTTGGAGGTCTAAGAAGTGGCACTTTCCAAACCTTACCTTGCTCATGGCAGTAAGGGCAGGATCGCAGGCAGCATCCAGATCTTGAACCAATAACTGGATGCTGCTCGAGATGACACTGCAAATCAAACAAATTACTGGTCATAACTTTAAAGAAGTAACTTTTTGAATGACTAACACAGCCCCTGCCAAATCTTTTAGGCACCTGGATCAAAATTAGATTCATCATTTCATCAGAAAAACTCAAGTTTGATTTCAAAAGGGAATGAATGGCAATGATAAGTATTTTGGCTCTTTGTTCTTGCTGCATGTCCTGTCTTATTTGGATGTATCTTCACTGAGTCAGGTCAAGGAATTCCATGGCTAGTCTCCCCCAGAATCCCTCTTCACTTCTTACTCCAAAAGCACCTGTTTGTTCAAAATGTTTAAATCAGAACTTGAAAAAAAAAATTGAGGAAAGGAGAAGAAATGACCTAAGAAGAAAATCTTGATTCTTCCTCGTTATGACCTACCCCAATCTCATTTGCTGACCACAACCAAAAACTGCAAGGCAACACTAGTGAAGGAACTATTTTGAGAAGCCTTTACAGTTTGAACTTTTTGGACAGACACTCTCCACTCCAACTACCCTCTCCCACCTGGCTAAAATCAAGCTGCTCACATTTTCATTCTAAGACACTGAGGGTGGGGTTGGCCCTCTGTGGATACGGGGTAGCGGTGGGGCAGACAGAAGGCCTTGGATTTGACCTTCCTACAGGGATGGTCAAGGAAGGATTTCTTCTCTTTTGTTGTTCTAGAAAGAGCAACAATAAAGGCCCTGTAAGCTAAAATGACTGCATCTGAGCAGGCCAAATGGGAGGCAGCTGCACTAGCTTCTGATGCTGCTTCTTACTGGCTACTGGAGAGTAATTCTGATTTGACAGGAGGCCCTGGAAACCTCTTAGGTTCCTTAGTAGCCTCAAGCCAACAGGCTGAGACACTCTGCTTTTTGAGGGGTAAAGGGCAGGCCTTAAGCAAATATGTGCAAGGTACATACGTGCTAAATGTATCCATTTCTCCAGTCAGATTGATTCGTTCAATCAGACTTACATCAACTTTTTCCTTGAGTTTTTCTTCTAGCTATTAAAAAAAGGAGAGAAAAACATGCTTAACAATTATCCAAAGGAGTATCATAATAAGAATACTTAACATCTCCTGAGTTTGATGATTCAGGTTCAATTTCAAGTACTTTTCACGTAATGACTCATTTAATTCTCACAGCCCTATGAGGAAGATTCTATTATTATCTTCATTTTACAGAAGAGAAAATGGTGGGGGGGCGCCTGGGTGGCTCAGTCGGTTAAGCATCTGTTTTTGGCTCAGGTCATGATCCCAGGGTCCTGGGATTGAGCCCTGCACCGGGCTCCCTGCTCAGCGGGGTGTCTGCTTTCTCCCTCTCCCTCTGGCCCTCCCTGCTGTTCATGCTTGCTCTATCTCTCAAATAAATAAAATGAAAAAGAAGGAGTAGAAGAAGGAAGAGGATGAGGAAGAGGAGAAGAAAAAATGGAGGTGTGATCTCCCTAAAACAGTATATGGTAGGCTGAGGAGTCAAACTTCCTCCAAAGCCTCTGCCCTGCAGCACTGGGCTAGTTGTACTTGTTTCTTATGACACACTGATCATTTCATTAATTCTAAAAAGACCCCAGTTTTCAGGATCCTCCCTGCTCTATGAACTGCAGGCTCACTCACCAGCACTGGAAACCTATGGTGGTTAAGTGGCAGTAAAAGCAGTTCAAGTATTCACCAAGTGCTGCTATAGGCCACCCACTATGTGAGGGTGTTGAGGATACCGATGTAAACAAAAGAAACAACGTCTGCCTTCATCAGCCTACAGCCAGGGAGAGAAACACTGGCTATGCTCCCAGCTGCCTCAAAGAGTTACTACAAACGTGGTGGCACAAAACAAATTTATTCTCTCACAGTTACAGAGGCCAGAAGTCCAAAATCAAGGTGTTGGCATGGTTGGTTCCTTTGGAAGTTCTGAGGGAAAACTATTCTATGCCTCTCTTCTACCTTCTGGTTGCTGGCAATCCTTGGTGTTCCTTGGTTGGTAGACACATTACTCCAATCAGGTCCAATCTCTGCCTCTATCATGTGGTCTTCTTCCCTGTGTCTGTTAGCTCTCCCTTTCCTTTCTTCTTTTTTTTTAGAGTTAAGAGATTTATTTATTTATTTATAGAGACAGACAGAGAGAGAGAGGCGCAGAGACACAGGCAGAGGGAGAAGCAGGCTCCACTCAGGGAGCCTGACGTGGGACTCGATCCAGAGTCTCCAGGATCACGCCCCGGGCTGCAAGCGGCGCTAAACCGCTGCGCCACCAGGGCTGCCCTCCCTTTCCTTTCTAAGGATGCCAGCCAGTCATTGGATTTACGGTTCACCCTAAATGCAAGATAATCTTTTCTTGAGATCCTAACTTAATTACAGCTTCAAAGACCCTCTTTCTGAAGTCACATTTACAGGTTACTGGGAGTTAGAACTTGGACACATCCTTTTGTACAAATAAGCCCATTATGGCTCCCAAATCCTTTTGAAATGACTGTTACAGTCTTTGATATTTTTCTTGCTTCTTGTATGACATGATGCTCCAGACTCATCTTGTAGATTTCCTGTCCCAGACCAGGAATTACTAATTTCTCCAGGAAGCTCTGGTTTCTTTTAGGGAAAAATGGTATTTAGAGTTCACAATATAGGTGCTAAGAATGTACTGACTTTCATAATCTGTAAAAATAATCTCCACAAAATAACAAAAAAATTGACTACATCTATCATGAGTCATCAAAATGGTCTTTGATCTACTAGTACTTCCAGAATTTTTAAGAATCTGTTCTAGAAAAATAATGCAAAACATATTAGATGTTCTTTGTAGGATTACTTCGAGAAGCAAAAACCCGAGACAGCATAAACAATTATGAAGGATACTATGAAATAATTTATGGTATTATCACTTTATGAAATATAACTATAACAACATTGGCAATAAAGATATAACAGGGGAAATGCTAGTGCTGTGATGTTAATAAAAACAACAAAGGGATACAGGAATGAATTAAGATTATAGCATACAACAATGGAATATTACTCAGCCATCAGAAATGACAAATACCCACCATTTGCTTCAACGTGGATGGAACTGGAGGGTATTATGCTGAGTGAAGTAAGTCAATCGGAGAAGGACAAACAGTGTATGTTCTCATTCATTTGGGGAATATGAATAATAGTGAAGGGGAATATAAGGGAAGGGAGAAGAAATGTGTGGGAGATATCAGAAAGGGAGACAGAACATAAAGACTTCTAACTCTGGGAAATGAACTAGGGGTGGTGGAAGGGGAAGAGGGTGGGGGGTGGGGGTGAATGGGTGACGGGCACGGAGGGGACACTTGACGGGATGAGCACTGGGTGTTATTCTGTATGTTGGTAAATTGAACACCAATAAAAATTAATTTATTAAAAAAAAGATTATAGCATACAAAACTACGTGTAAAAGGACTGAAAGAAAATACTTTAAAATTGCTAATATGATTATTTGATGGTGATAGGATTAAGAGTCATCATTTTTATTTTTCCCCCCTTTGGTACCATGGTTATTTTACTTTAATTTTTAATTTTTTAAGATTTTATTTATTTATTTATTTGAGAGACAGCAAGAGTGAGAGAGCAGAAGCAGAGGGCCCAACAATGTGGGGCTTGATCCCAGTATCCTGGGATCATGACCTGAGCTGAAGGCAGATGCTTAACTGACTGAGCCACCCAGGTATCCCTATTTTTAATTTTTTAAACTATTTATTTACTTAATGTATTTAATTAATAATTTTAATATAAATTTAATTAATTTATAATTTATCTTTAATTTTACTTTTAAAATACCATATTACATATGTGTATGTCTTTCTGTTTGGTATACATGCAAAACAGTTAAATAGTGTTTCTTCATCACAGAAGTCTGGGACCCCTGCCTTGGAGGTCCTTGTAGATATTGCTGTCCTGCCCTGGGAGTTTTTGGGGCTAAAAGGATTGCTGTCTCTGGTTCCAAGGCTAAACATTTACAGATCACTCCCTGTGTGACTCAATGTGACCATGTCCCCAAACAGAGCCTGCTATTGCCTCTGTCTGGCATAACCTCAACTGTGAAGTTTAGGGGGAACACTTCTTATTTTGGCTTCTTGTATTCTTGCTCTGGCTCACAGGCACTCCAAGCTGTACTGTCTGAACTATAATTTATGACTACCTTCCTATGATCCAGACATGTGTAAATAATAAACCCAAAAAGGGGGGCAGAGCACAACCTTCTCCAATTATTTTCCTTCTCTTGGCCTTAGGAATTCCAGACCAATGTGAAAAGGAACTTCTAATCCCATGTCTAAGGCTGAATGGAAAATTCTTCTGGGTCTTCCTTCTGCTGATGGGGAGCTCCAGGAGAGGCATCACCCTTTCCTGCTTCACAGTTCCTGAACGTCAGCATCCAAAGAATGGTTGTTTGTTTAGGCAGACTGAGAATGCTATGTACATTTTAGGAGACACATAAAAGCCCAGAGGATTTTGCTTAGCCTACTAACACTTCTGAGATGGAATCACTGGCTGTGACTCATCACCACCAAAGGCTGGGTCCTAGCATCATTTTCACTGCTTTTCTCATATGGGAGACAGTGCTACTGACCTACTTTCAAGAGGACATGCCCTCTGAGTAGCTTAAACAACTCTGGGGAGATCAGCCAGACTTTCTTGCCCAGTCCCCTTTTAACAAGGCTCTTCTGTGAGATGGCTGCCTGGACCATCTTCTGAATGGACAGCAATTTTCCTCTAGGACCAACTGGTCTGCCCCAGGTGGTATGTGGCTTGTTAGGGCCCATAATTTTACCTACTGAGTCAAGAGGCCCAGATGGTTCAGGAAAAGGAGGCAGTGGGCAGCTCACCTGCTGGGTGGTAGCCAGACAGTACTCGGCTGTGCTTAGGATGCCACAGATGAGGCAGAGCTCCTCTAGAGTGAACTTGGCTACTTCTGAGCCTTCCTTTTCTTTGAGGAGGCTGCTGATGGTCAGCCCTCCACTGCTGCTTGTGGTTCTGAGGAAAAGGAACAGGAACTAGTTAGGCTGGGACTTCTCATTTGCTTCCTGAACAGGTAACCGGACATCTTAAGACAAAGAAAAGGGGGAAGGAAAGGCTGGATATGGCCCAAACAAATTCATGTACAATGAGCCTCTTTCCTACTGACCTTACCTTGACTATCATCTGTTTAAATTCTCTGACCATCAGGAGTGGGAAGAAAAATTCCAACTGTGAGCCTGTAATCAGTCATATTAACTATGATGACTCTGGTACTCAGAGAAAGGCTGCTGAGTGGCCTCTCTGCTTAGCTTACAATCTCCTGATCTGGAGAGCTCATTCAGGATCATCTGTGGTACAAGAGGTTGTTCCACAACTGTTTCAGTTAAGAACACTGCACAGGAATTTGTACATTGTGCTGTAGAGGGTACCAAAGTGAATGTCAGACATGGTTCCTGCCCAAAGGCCACCTTCCTACTGATCTAATAATTTGCTCACAAAACGTAAAAATACAGTTATAAAACCTATTTCAACTGTGAGATTTTATATATATTTTTAAAAGAAGACAGAGTTCAACTACATTTACCTTAAAAATAAAAATATTTTAAAAATAGTGCTAAAACTGCCCAATCTTACTGGTAATCAAAGATTTGAAAATCTCTTCATTTCCAGCACTTACAAGGGTGTGAGGATGCTGACACTCTCTTGCACTATGGGTCAGGTGCATTAAGTTGTACAGCCTTCCTGGAGGTATATTTCAGGAGCTTAAAAAAATGTTCACATTATTTGATCCAGTGGTTCTACTCCTTTTCAAGGATGCTTTTCTGAGTGTTATTTAAAATACTAAACTGGTGGGGGGAGGCACCTACTCAGGTCATTATCTCAGGGTCCTGGGATTGAGCTCCACACTGGGTTCCCTGCTCAGCAGGGGAGTCTGTTTCTCCCTCTCCCTCTGCCCATGCTTGTGTGCTCTCTCTCACTCACTCACTCACTCAAATAAATAAAATCTTGGAAAAAAAAAAAAACTAAACTAAAATAGTGAGCCCAACCTATCTATCAATTAAGAGGATAATCAATAAGAACTTCAGAAGTTAAGTGAGGTTCTTCTGTATGTTGGATTATCACAACATCATTAAGTGTTTTGATGACTATACAATGTCCTGAATGCTGAATGTTCTCTGTTGGCCTCCCAGATCCATTCATTAGTCTTCTCTTTCCTTCTCTATGGTTCAGGAGACTGACCTCTACAGACCTATCATGCTGGCTCCCTGGCCCTCTGGCCTCCTGTTGGGTTCAGTCAACAGAAGGTGTGGCAAGAAGTTGGAGAGGTAGAGGAGAGACACATCTGAGTACTAACGAGGCCTCCTACTCCCTCTGCTTCAGTAGTGGTGCTGGCAAGGACTGTGGCCCTCCATTTTCTTTGTGGCAGCCCTTCATCCACAGCCCCAGCTCTCAAGCGAGTTTTCAGGTAACAACTACCTCCTAGTATTGGGATGCTTCAGAACCTTCTTTTGGTTCCTTTTACCTTGTCCCCATTTCTGTGAATACTTGCTTTGGTGATAATACCCTAGCCGAGTATAACATTTGTTTCCTGCTGTGACACATGGGGAAAAATGCTCACAGGATGATATTAAGTGAAAGCAGCATGGTAGAAAACTACAAGCTGTATAGACCCAATACTGTTAAACCAAAGCACAAAATCACACACATTATATATAAAAATAAAGAACAGAAAAATATATCCCAAAAAGTTATATTTATTTTCTCTGGCTGGTGAGATTATAGCTGACTTTTATTTTTGTCTCTGTGCTTTTCTATGTTTTCTAAACTATAATAACATATTTTGGTGATCAGGATAAAAATTATTAGATTTTTTTAAAAATGTTTTTTATCATAGTCAAAGAAATTCTCATTGGTGAAATATATCTATTACTTCAAGTCTCTGGTTAGAACACAGGTATTTTATTTTCTTTCTTCCAGATAATGTAAAACTCCCATGTAGGACACATTTTAGTGAAAACAACAGCAACTACTTCCAGAATTATTGGATTTAGCCGTGGGGATAATTTATAAATATTAAATTCCTAAGCATTACTTTATATTATTATTATTTGTTTAAGGTTTTACTTATTCATGAGAGATACAGAAGCAGGCAGAGACATAGGCAGAGGGAGAAGCAGGCTCCCTGCAGGGAGCCCAATGTGGGACTTGATCCCGGGAACCCCAGGATCATACCCTGAGCCAAAGGCAGATGCTCAACTGCTGAGCCACCCAGGCGTCCCCACCAAAGCATTACTTTAGATCATACTCTATCATAATCAAAATTGCTATAGAACCAAAATCTTTAATACTTTAATTAGTTAATCAAAGTAGGGTCCATGCTGGGCTTGGAGCCCAATGCGGGGCTTGAACTTATGACCTTGAGATCAAATCCTGAGCTGAGATCAAGAGTCAGATGCCTTAATCAACTGAACCACCCAGGCACCCTTGAACCAAAAATCTTTAGTTGAAAAAATCTAGTTGAACAGCGATTTATTTCAATTAATAAGCATTATAATAATATTCTGATGTCCCAGAACACAGTGAAGTCACTATAATTAGGGGCTGTGCTATGCAACCTCCTCTTCCCAAGTCCTACCACATCTTTAAACATGAGACTCTATTCAACAAGACACATACAAACTAAGAGACTTTGCTACATAATCAGATCAAGGGAAATGCAGATTCATGCTTCCCATGTGCTTATCATCCCGGGGCATACTCTCACTGAATGAAACTGCCTGTGCTGTTAATAAAAGTTATTACCACCACCACCTTACCTTTTTTGGCCACCTACCTATTGTTGAATCCACACAGAATAAATACGTACATAATGGAATTGACCCTTGAGTCCACTGTGGTTAAGATCTGACCTATGCTGGCAGCTAGTGACGGTATTTCCTCTAATGGTCTTGATCAGCTGTGGAATCCCATTAGAATGGAAATCATCTCAGACCCTTGGGAACTCGGTAAGAGTGTTTCCCTCCTTCCCTGAGACTCTTAGCAGTTCAGTAAACAATTTCAGATCAGATTTTCTTAGATTCCCATATTTAGGTATATTCAGAATCTTGCTTCACCACTCAGATCAGCAAGAATGGCACTCACTTGGGTAGATTGCCAGAGAGGATTTTCCAGGCATATTCTCGGAGGTACTTCTGGAAAATGGTGGTCAGAGCGATCATTGGCTCCCCAGTACTGAGTTGAGAGCACTGCACCATGCACTTCTTGTAGTAGACAAAGAGATCAGCACAGCTGGGGAGCACAGCACCTCCTTCTTCAGTGTTGGGCTTAGGTGGCCCCTGGGCTTTGAAATCGGCCACAAACCTATCAATCAGCTCTCCAAGGTTTCTAGAAGGAAGAAGTCCTGCAATGTTATTTCAAGAAAGATACAGCAAATGTGCTCAACTGCCATGGGTAAATCATTCCTACTGCTTTTCACATTTAAAATCAGACTTTTGTCCGTATCTTCATTAACCACCATCAGCACTCCAACAATTTGAGTGCTGCTTTATGCTTCTCAAGGCATTTCATGATCACATCTGACCCCAAGCCTCTGTAAGGGAGATAAAGTATTACTGGAGCCTCTAAGAGATGAAAAAATTAAGGTCTAAAGTGTTTGTCACACAATTTAGTGGCATAGCTGAGCCTAGAAGCTACCATTTAAGTGCTTGCACTGGTCCTACTATCATTTTACTACCATTTCCTCTCTCCATAAATGAACAAAGTAACAACAGTGATCATTTTCTGAACACATACAATATACCAGGCACACGCTGTGTCAGTAATTTATTTTTAAAAAAACTTTATTTATTCCTGAGAGACACACAGAGAGAGGCAGAGACACAGGCAGAAGAAGAAGCAGGCTCCCTGTAGCGAGCCCAATGTGGAACTTGATTACAGGACCCCAGGATCACGACCTGAGCCAAAGACAGACACTCAACCACTGAGCCATGCAGGTGCCCTACATCAGCTGTTTAGAAATGTCGTTTCACTGCACTTCACTCAATATTCACAATAACCTTATGAAGTATGGACTATTCCTGTCCTCATTTTCAAAAAGCAAGGTGCAGAAAAGTTAAGGACCTTGTCCAAGATCATAGAGCAAGAGAGGAGGGGATCCAGGATTCAAACCAAATAGCCTGGGCTCAAATTTCATGCTAAGCACTCTACCTTCCTACGTCTGAAAATACAAAAAGGTTACGGTGTCAGCAAATATTTTGATATTATTAAATGTGCACATAAGACAGATGCCTAAGTATTCTTATATACTTAGAAGTATTCTAATGCTTGCGGTTTTAATGCAGTATTTTATTTTATTTATTTATTTTTAAATTTTTATTTATTTATGATAGTCACAGAGAGAGAGAGAGAGAGAGAGAGAGAGAGAGAGAGAGAGAGAGAGAGGCAGAGACACAGGCAGAGGGAGAAGCAGGCTCCATGCACCGGGAGCCCGATGTGGGACTCGATCCCGGGTCTCCAGGATCGTGCCCTGGGCCAAAGGCAGGCGCCAAACCTCTGCGCCACCCAGGGATCCCTTAATGCAGTATTTTAATGCAGTTTTTTCCTTAAAACTTTCAGAATCAAAAGGGTAAAAAATCTTGGGACAAGGGAGGGTATGGCAGCCTCAGGCTTGCAGCAGGTCACGACAGTGATGACGGCTGTAGCTGTCTCCTCATCCCCCATTCAAACATCACTGCATCTGGCTCAGTCATACTGAGTCATCATAGCTAGGACCCAACAGGGCTCTACTCATTGTTTCCTGCACAGTTGTGCTGTATGAAGAATGGGAGGAGTCCCCACCTCTTGACGTTTTATGTCTTTTTAGGTTGCTGTCTAAGGCTACAAGAATCCAGCTGTGCTTTCAAAATGTATTTATATAACAGGAAGAAAAAGACAAGAACCACACACAGCATCAATTAGCAGGAATAGAAAATTGACATTTTACTCAAGAGATTTTGTTATTGAAAGTTTATTATATCCAGATGTAGCCACTCTGCCCTCAAAGAACTTCAGGTCTAGGCTAGGTCTTTGTGGTGATGGTCAGCAAGCAGGGAAGGAGAGGAAGCTGCAGCATCACCACCCCATTCCTTGTTGCCTCTTCTTGCCCCCCCCTTTCCTGTAATCTCTCATTGCTCCTGCATGGGGACCCTCCATGCCAGCCAGATTCCCCTCAACTGCCCCCTGCCCCATCTCTATCCCTGACTCTGGGCCTTTGCCTGTAATGCCTGGATGCCTCCCCTGGCCAAGGAGGCTCTTCTGCTACCTCTCTACTCATCCTTAGGCTTGGCTCAGGGCTCAGGCTGGACAACTCCCACTCCCACCACCCTCTGTCTCAATTTCAACTTCTGTCATCTGCCATACACTGACATTTATTATTATTATTATTATTATTATTATTATTATTATTTAACACTTTACTATCCAGCATAAGGAAGGATGTCAAATGTTCAAGAAACATAACAGCCTTCTCCTATCCTGGGCCCGCAGCACAGCAATGTATCAATAATGGCTTTCTCTTTCACTGATCTTTGGTGTAATTTCAGAATCCTTCTTGAACCAGCATCTAGCCAGTTACTGATAAGCTGAAGTTGGTACACAAGCTAAAGGTGCTTGCTCAATCTTCTTCCCCGGTTCATATGCATTATCACATGCTCCTTGAGGGATAATGTTTATTTCTTCCTGCCCTCCCCAGGCCCACCCCTCACGCTTATGTGTGTAAAGGTAATCTTCCAGTTATGTCGGTGCCCAGTATGGTCAGCCCCACACTCTGCCTGAAGGACGGGAGCAGAAGGGTGGGAAGGTGGGGATGGGGCAGGGGCTGGTGCAGGGGAGGAGAGCACGTAACAGAAAGCAAAAAGTTCCACTTGAGTCTTCTTAGGAGAGATGCTAATTGCCAAATCTCTAGTGCCAACAAAAACAGGGGCCAGAGCTCTGAAGTGTTTTTATTTTAACCACTCATCCAGTTCCCCTAGTAGCTGAAGTCAGGATACTTACTTCCCTGCCTCATATTTCAGAGCCAACCTGATCAGTAGGATTATAAATTAATCATGCTCCTAAAACAAAAGAAAATTTCCACTTAAAGAAAACCTCTGAAGTTCTTGTATACTTTGCAGGCTGTCTCCCAGAGCACTTTTGACGCCGTCCTCTAGGCAGATGAGATATAAACCCGTCAGAGTAAGCTTCCCTCCCTTACAATGCTACTCTTCGCATCTGCATGCTTCTGTGCCATAGGAGACACTGGAAAACGAGTAATCAACATGTCGCAGCACAGATGGCCCAATCCAATGGATTTCAAACTGAGCATGTAGTATGTGCTATATACATATAAGATATGTATAAGATATGGTATGTGCATATATACATACAAGATATAAATGAGTTCAACTAAAAAAAACAACAACAACAACAACAAAGGCTGTCATTTCTTCTAGGCACCAAACACTAGCCTGAGTCTGGCCAGACCCTGTAAGACTACTAGAGAAAGAAGCATGTGGCATATTGACCTGCTGAGTGGAGTCATAAGGAGGTGTCTTTCACACCATAAAGCAATTACAATCAAGGAAGAGTTTCTAAAGGATCAAGCCCTGATCAAGGTGCTGCTAGGTATGGTGGTCAGGACACAGCATCAACCCATTAGGAGCTCTAATCTATGTAAGGAGTCAGAACCCTCATGCTCATGATGTTGAGATTTCAAGATAGCAACAAAATGCTAATTTTGCAGTACAGACAATATTAACCATTTGTTTCAGACAAAGGAAACCAGAGAGAAAATTCTGCAGTAGACTAGATGAAGCAATAAAGGCCTGGAGTCAAAGTGAGCATAGTATATGGTCTGCGGGAGGGAGGATGTAAGGAAGAGGGGATGGGGCAAAAGTTTGACCTTCAGTTTGATTTATACAGTCCTCTGTATTCCCACAGCAAACTACTGGTAGCTTCATGCCTTCATGCCATACACCACAATCTCCCACCAGGCCACAGGCCTATAAACAGATGCCTGGGTGGCATCTGTCCCAGATGCATTAGAAATACTATCTTCTCACAACAGCCCTGAGGATAAGGCATTCTTATCTCCATTTTGTAAATGACAAAACTGAGGCTGAGCAAAATAATATAGCTTGCCCTAGGTCACAGAATTTGTTGGAGCTGGAATCTGAACTTAGGGGTGTCTGACTCCAAAGGCCAGCTTTATCCACTGTACTGTGATTTTGATTTCACAACACTAAAAAACTACAGATAGATGGCATTGTGCTTGTTGCTATGTTCACTTTCTCTCCAGCTTAAAGGAACACACCATGGATGTGGATGGTATCTTTCACCTCCTCCTTTGCAGCATGAGCTTTCTGCCCAAGAATGTACAAACAAAGCATGTCAGGGGGCCATGTGAACTACTGCTGAGGGTTCCACCGATCAATGAAATGATCCAAGATGAAAGACCACTGCAGAGCAGTATCAGTAGAGGAAAGACTAAGGCAGTTTCTTCTGGTGGATTTGCAGTCAGCATCCCCAGCAACAATACTCTAACTGGAATGGCAAAGGGAAAGGAAGATGGCAGTCAGACAAAGCTGGCAAGGAGGAGATCATGGGAAACGATGCTTAGGATCCCCTAGAGATTACAGAGCTTGTTAACTCAAGGTACTCAAACTAACTTGGACCCCTTCCTCCCCTGCTCTTAGGTAGAGGCCGACGACTTGGCTCTAATGTGGCCAGGCCAGTGGTGTTGCAGAGCCGAGGTTTGGCTTGATCACAACTGGGAGATGGGTTACACACAGGCAAATGGGGCAAATAAATAAATACAGGGAAGATCTGGGGAGCCAAGTTTCTCACTGCTGTGGAAGGTAGTTAGAAACAAGGAAAAGGAGAGGCTAAAATAAACCCTGTGGTATTAGATCAGAATTAGAGTTATTGGCATAAACTCACAGGTTTTAATAAGTCGGTATAAAAACAGATATTGAGGTATACATATATGTATATACCCACATATAATCCTTAGCTCTTTCAACTGCAAGTGCCTAGAAGCATAACATTCAAGCAGTAATGAACATATCTGATCCTCTGAACTTAGTTTCTAAGTATCATTCCCAAAGAAACAAGGGATCTTGGAAAAATGGGTGACTCCAGGGCTGGGGTAGGAAAGTGCCAGAGACTCTGGTATATTTTGTTGTGCCAGAAATTATAGGTGCATGCAAAAAGCATGAAAAACCAGTTTGAAGGGATTCCAGTGGCCAAATCAGGGACAATTTGAGCATTAAAACAATGACAGAACCTGAAAGAAAAAAAGGACATCAGTGGAAAAACTGGTGGGAAATACAAATAAATCCTGAGTTTAGTAAATAGAACTGTACCAACGTTAACTTGCTGGAGAGGTAACTGCTATGGTTATATAAGATGTTAACATCAGGAGAACTTGGGAGAAAGGAATATGAGCAATCAGTGCTATTTCTGAAACTTTTATGTAGGTATAAATTTATTTCAACATAAACTTAAAAAAAGGTAATAACGGGGGATGCCTGGGTGGCTCAGCAGTTGAGCGTCTGCCTTTGGCTCAGGATGTGAGTCCCACATCGGGCTCCCTGAGAGAAGTCTGCTTTTCCCTCTGCCTATGTCTTTGCCTTCTCTCTGTGTCTCTCATGAATAAATAAATAAAATCTTTTAAAAAAAGAAGGTAATAACAGATATAACCCACTGAATAAAATAGGAATCTATGGGTACATGCTGACACAATAAATGTGGAAAAGAGAAAGCTTTCTCTTAAAATATAATGCAAACTAATAAAAGCAGAAGAAATGACAGTATTAGAAAAATTGTCATTTGGCAACTGTTTTAGTAATAAGTGATTCAGGCAAGTATCAGCAGGAGGTGGAAGATGAGAAAAAGACTATTTATATGGTTTTAATGTTTCTCCTGACACTTATTATTATTACTTATTAATAAATAGAGAAGCCTGGTAGACTCCATCTAAAGTAAGTAATAAAAATTGAACACAAGTAGGACACTGTGTCCTCCTAAAATGAATTACTGAGAAGAACCCAGCATCACTTCTGCATAAATCATAAATCATGAAGAAACATTAGTCAAGCTCAGATGGAGGGACATTCCACAAACAAATTGGCCTGTACTCTTCAAAAATTTCAAGGTCATGAAAGATAAAGAAAGAATGAGTTATATTTCTGGATTGAAGAGACCAAAGACACATGACAAGTAAATGCACCCTGTGATTCTGGCATGGATCCTGGATCTAGAAAAGACATGACTGGGACTACCAGTGAAATGGAATGGAGTCTATGAATTAAATGGTACTAATGGATCAAGTTAACTTCCTGACATTGATATGTACACTGTGGCTAGGTAGACTGTATCCTGATTTATAGGAAACACACACTGAAGTACTAAGGAGTAATGGGGGCACTCTTGTCTGCAATTTGAAGAAAGTGTCTATGTAGAGAAATCTCTTCTCCAAGAGTCAGCCAGAGAAAATCACTACATTCCCAAGAGTAAAAGTTCTATAACTTCCTTCTTGAACATAAACAAAAGTTGAGAAAGCTGCTTAAAACAGAGAAGGACAGGTTAGCCCAATCTGCTGAGGAGACGGCTCTGGGGATATCCTTACTTTCTTCCTCCTCCCTAGGTACTGGCTCTGCAGTTCTCCCGCTGCTATTTGGCTTTTGGCTGGGGCAGGTGCTGCCAGAACTTTGCCTGGGCAGGTGAAAGGCTTGGGAGATGAGAGGGCGGACTCCATGCCAGGCCCAACAGAAAGCTGGCAACACTGATCAGGGCTACTTGAGAGTCTGGAACAAGAGCACCAGGTGGGCAGGGCAGGTATCACTTATGCCAAATGCTAGCATGTCATCTCATCTCATCCTCGCCACTGATCCTGTGAGGGGAACATTACTAACTTGACTGTAGAGAGGATAAAACAAACTCCAAGAGGTTAAGTACCATGCTTGAGGTCCCAGGCTAGTGAGTGCAGACTCAAATCATGGTCTGTCTGGCATCTAGGCCCACGCTCTTTCCACTACACTGTGTTGGGTCTCTGTCATCTGGGAGCTTGTGAATGGTCTAAGATTTTCCACCCTTGCAGATTTTTGAGTCAAAGCTACAAGACTGTAATAAGTACAAAATCAGTCCCCACCTGAGTTTCTTCCCTTAGGTTTCTTTGACAAAAGGGAGGAAGGACTTTGTAGAACCCCTTGAAATTGCACTCAAGATAGTGTGTGGGTTTACGTGAATTTTCTTTTGGCAAGAGAGTCTATAGTTTCATTGAGCTCTCAAAGGGATCCATGACTCAAAAAAAGGTTAATAGCCACTGCCATAGGCATTATTTTGTCTGATTCTCTGCTTTAAAAGATGAGGAAATGGATTTCTTGAACTCTGTTTTCTACTTCAAGCCTTTGCTGCTTATTCTGGAGCAACAACAGCACAACCTACGCAATTCTCCTACAAGTAGCTTCTGCTACTTCCCCAGTGCTGTGGAAACATCCTAGTGAGGCCAAACGGCAGGATGAGTGGCCAGCACTTCATTTTTCATAGAGAAATGGAGAGTCCCTAAGGAAGGGTGGTCTGGCTCTCTGCCGGAAGTATCATGAACAATGAGTACACTTTATATGAATCCAGGCTATGTGAAAAGAGTAGATACCAGAATTAAGATAATTCAGAAAAACAACTCTCTAGACCAGGTAGGTCTGAGGAAAGTATGTGGTTATTTCAGATATCCACTTTAAACTCTGGATCCAACAGCTTTTAAACCTTTTTAAAAATAAGAATTGGAGTTGATGAGAGAAGAAGAGGTTTTGTCCAAAAATAGTGATCTAGGTGGGCTGCTCTAAGACCTGCTAATCTCTTAGGTAAATAACTGGTCTTTTACCTGTCTCTTGAGGTGTCTCACTAACTTCCTGAGAAAAAACCTTTTAACACAAAAGACAAGGTGTTCCAAAGGAGCAAATGGCAATAGCAATTACTGCCTTTCTGTGTGCTTTTGGACATAAGTCCAAAGAATAGAGAGGAGGTGGCAGCCTGGCTTTGCAAGGCAAATGTGAAAGTACCTCTTTCTTTGGGGGATAGGGGGCAGGAAGTTGTTTCTGTTAACATAGAAGTTCTACAAAGTTCATTTTCTACAACTTTAATATGAAACATTTTATATTTGTTTTTTAAAGATAGATTTATTTATTTATTTATTTATTTATTTATTTATTTATTTGAGAGAGAGAGAGAGAGAGAGAGAGAGAGAGAGAGAAGCAGAGACACAGGAGGAGGGAGAAGCAGACTCCACGTCTGGGGCCCGACACGGGACTCGATCCTGGGACTCCAGGATCACGCCCTGGGCCAAAGGCAGGCGCTTGAACCGCTGAGCCACCCAGGGATCCCCACATTTTGTATTTATATGGGGTCAAAAAGTAGATGCAATCTACAGAATCAAATAGGTGAATAATAACAAGGTCCCATGTAGTGAATCCACTTGAAAAAGTCTCTCTCTCCTTTTTTTTAAAAAAATCTCTTAATCTTATGGTTTGCCTCTGAAACATATTGGGAAACAAGAATTTGCTAACCCACAACAGAAGCATTAAAAAAAAAAAAAGGGACTAAATTTCAGCACCTAAATGCTTTCCCAGAGAACTTCCCTTGAGAACTCTCACAGTCGCTACTGTGCTCCCCACGCGAGCCACTGTCAGGTCCTCCCAAGTATGTTTTTTAGGCTACAAGGCCTCGTCTCAGAGCCAGGGCCAGCCTGTCTCCAGAAACCTGACTTTTCCAAAATCTGCCTTCCAGTGTGGAAGGGTCTTCAATTGATCCTCTGGCTGTGGACAGAAATTCAGGGATGAGGAGAGGCCTTCCTCTTTTTCATGAAAAATGGACACTGGAACTTGAACATACTACTCTGACCACTGTGAGGAAACTTGGCAGCAGTGGGCTACTTTGTGAAAATTTTTAGGAACCCCTGTGTTTTTAAAAAGTATGTATATTAAATGGATGCTAATCCATAAAAGAGGGCGGCCCCAGTGGCGCAGCAGTTTAGCACCGCCTGCAGCCCAGGGCATGATCCTGGAGACCCTGGATCGAGTCCCACGTCAGGCTCTCTGTATGATGCCTGCTTCTCCCTCTGCCTGTGTCTCTGCCTCTCTCTCTCTGTCTCTATGAATAAATAAATAAAATCTTAAAAAAAATCCATAAAAGAAAGTAAGAATCTACCAGTGCATACTGACTAAATAAGCACACACACAGGGGGATGAAGGGGAAGTGCTTCTTTACAGAAGAAATCCAATTAATAAATACAGGAGAAATGATGGAAATGGAAAATCAACATTTGGCAAACACTACAGTAATAACTGCTTCAAGGCACGAATCATCAAGGGATGTCAAAATGAGTGGGCACAGTGTGAGGAGAAACAGGAATAGTTACATAGTCCCAATGTATTCCCCCACATGATACTTATTAATTACAAAGAGAAAAATAGTAGCTTCAAAGCAGAAAAAGCTAGCAAGCACCATCTTAAGTGATCAAAGTTAACATCACCAGTAATGAGACACAGCCACATGAAGTGCCTCCTGATGTGACGTAAGCAGAGGGACATGACATCACCTGTATGGTATACTTGCCCGCAATGCAAAATCTAGATTTAACCAAGAGCAAACATCAGACAAACTGAATTTGAGGGCAATGTAGAAAATAACTTGTCAATCAATACTCTGTAAAGTGTCAAGGTCATGAGAAATAGACAAAAGACTGTGGAAGGATTCAAGGTTAAAGGAAACTAAAGAGACCTGACAACCAAATGCATGATGGGATCTTGGGCCAGAAAGTAGACATTCATGGCACAATGTCACCCTCCTGGTTTTGATAACTGTGATTATGTAAAACAGTAGCATTCTCTGGGGGAAGGATATATGAGGATTTTTGGTAACTTTTTCAGAAGTCTAAATCATTTCAAAATGAAAACCTAAACAAATTATACTGAAAAATATGTATATTAGAGACAAGGCTTTCTTTCTCTATTTTCCAGTGCCTGCCATGGTCAAGCCCTGTGGGCTGACAAGTGTAGCTATATAAGAGCTCAGTACCTACGTGGGAAGAGGTTGTTAGGATCCATTTAGGACCTTATTATTAGAGTAAAACTAGGGGTTCTAAGATTTATGGATACAATAAATGATAATATTCATAAGAGTGAAAAATCTCCTTAGAAGGTTTCCAGGGAGGGTCACAGGAGGCCTGTGACCTCCTTCAGCCTCTGGAAAGGGCTGTGCCCTTGTGAGGCCCAACCACGACTAGAGGAGGGAGAAGCGCAGTAGAAAACAGCAAAACGTTCATCACTCACTTGTCCTGGGACTCAATATACACGTAGAGATGAGGCTCGAAACACTTGGAGACAATGCCATGAAATGGATTGTCTGGGGCTTTAGGCTTCTTTGGCTGTAAAGGGAGGGGAAAAAAAAGAAAGAAAGAAATCTATATTTAAGCCATTTTTTCAAGTTTTCAAGCAGTTTCAAAGAAAAAAATCCCTTCAAAGTTTACTCCTGACACAGATAAGCACTCCGTGTAGCTGAACTGGGACTATGTCTTACACTGATTCATGCCAGTCTGTGAACAATGAGCCAGTTTTGTTAATATCACTGACTTGCCCTGTATGGTGAAAGATTTACTGCTATTCTGATAACACATGTACTTTTAATTTGGAAGCTATTCATCATATGACTGTTTTAAAAAATTTAATCCTAGCTAATAACAGTACCTTATATTTGCATAATGCTTTAGAATTTATAAAGTGCGGGATCCCTGGGTGGCGCACTGGTTTGGTGCCTGCCTTTGGCCCAGGGCGCGATCCTGGAGACCCAGGATCGAATCCCACATCGGGCTCCCGGTGCATGGAGCCTGCTTCTCCCTCTGCCTGTGTCTCTGCCTCTCTCTCTCTCTCTCTCTCTCTCTGTGACTATCATAAATTAAAAAAAAAAAAGAATTTATAAAGTGCTTTCACATCTATTCTTGATGGCCTCCATTTAGTGGTTTTTATTATGGATCAAGCACTTGTACATGAAATAACATCTCATCTATTCCTCATAACAAACCCTTGGTGTAGGAATTAGACTACTATATTACACCTAAAATGCACTTAGCAGCCTGCCCAAAGGCACATGGTGAAGCTTCCTATCTCCTGAACTAGAACTCTTTCTTTTATAGTGTTGCTTTGCTGAGATGGTTCCTGAACTGTTGAATTGATGAGTAAATGCAAGAAAAAGAGTCGTAAAGGACCAACATAGCATTGCTAACTTTTTGTTTTGCTACTTTCCATTCTCACCAGTCCCTTAAGAATATTTTATACCCAAATACTTTATAGGGAGAAAATAGCAGCATTAGGGCAGTCCTTCCTATGAAAAGACAGTTGGTGACCTTCTTTTTTTTTAAATTTTATTTATTTATCCATGAGAGACACACACAGAGAGGCAGAGACATAGGCAGAGGGAGAAGCAGGCTCCCCATAGGGAGACTGATATGGGACTCGATCCCAGCTGGGATCATGACCTGAGCCAAAGGCAGATGCTCAACCACTGAGCCACCTAGGTGACCAGTTGGTGATCTTATACCAGATAGACAGATACATAGACAGACAGGCAGGCAAGCAGACTATTTTGTCTTTAGTTTTTGCCTTGGGCCACTGTAAAACAGGGCCAGTGCTGGCCCCCAGTTGATACTTAAAAACCACTGATATATAGGCCATCTAGGTAGGCAAGCATTTAAAAACTCTGTTTGCTTCTTAATTCCTTTTCAAAATATCTAAGAAATAAGTGAATATTCTCCTACATATCTCTTTGTATTCCTAAAAAAAAAAGTCAATTTTATTCATTGTCAAATGCCAACAAAAGGACCCTGAGCCCTTGCTGGGGTTGATATTAGAGTACAATTTGGGAATAAACTGATACAGCATACTTGTTGAATGGAACTGTTCATATCTCTTAATAGAGGAAAAACTAAGCCCCTAATGACAAACAGAATAATGATTCCCTTCTTCTAGTAACTTTTAAAAATAAAACACTGTAATAGTTAAAAGCAACTGTAAAAACTGGAAATGCACACTGTAAATTAAATGTCAACCTTAGACATATCCCAGTCTCCTGTTCAGCTCTCCCTTTATCACCTTTAGAGAGTTCCATGTCTTCAGTTTTTTTTTTTTTTTGCAAGATTTTTAGAAATTCTGGTCCTTCCTAAAATAATTACACTCGGGTTGTTTTGCTTTATCCAGAAGCCACCACCAAAGTCAGGTCTGAGGCTGAGACCACCAGAGATGCCTCAGCCTGGGTTCACGGAGTTTGTCTTGTCTGAATTCAAAGTTCTACTTCATTTCTCAGATTCCCTGGGAGTTTCTCTCACACTTCCATCATTTTAAGCGGCAGATCCATGACATAGTGCTGTGTATGGGTGGTCTTTACCTAATTGTTCTGTATTTTCCAAGTCAGTTATCTATTTTTTATTATTTCATTCTTTTCAATAAGGTGATTGTTAAATGAATAGATAAATGTGATTTAACTTTTATAAGACTAGATATCTGATTTTAGAATTGAAAACTATAGCCACAATACCCAGATAGCTTTTTATTAATAGTCATTATAAGGATTGTAATTATCCCATTTATATTTTTTCCTGTGACAAAACAATTCACACATCTGCAGGATAGCTTCTGGTAATTATAAACTGGAGTTTATATAACACAGAATGTTGTCATGTCTTAAATCAAAATGTTTTTTATTTTTATTTTTTAAAAATTTTTATTTATTTATTCATGAGACACACACAGAGAGAGGCAGAGACATAAGCAGAGGGAGAAGCAGACTCCATGCAGGGAGCCTGATGTGAGACTTGATCCCAGGACTCCAGGATCACGCCCTGGGCCGAAGGCAGGCGCTAAACTACTGAGCCACCCAGGGATCCCCGAAATCAATGTTTAATTTTTTTTAAGATTTTATTTATTTATTCATGAGAATACACAGAGAGGAGAGAGAGAGAGAGGCAGAGACACAGGCAGAGGAAGAAGCAGGCTCCATGCAGGGAGCCTGACGGGGGACTCGATCCCAGGTCTCCAGGATTACGCCCTGGGCTGAAGGCGGCGCTAAACCGCTGAGCCACCCGGGATGCCCAATCAACATGTTTTAAATAAAATATTTTGTATTTGGCTTTGTTTACTAATTTATGGGCAATTTTCCAATTACTGACAATGTTTTAGTTTATCACCTTAGAATGGCTACATAATGAAATATAAGCTCTATAAATTAGATCATAGTATTACACTGAAACTACATTTTCTGATTTTGATCTGTGGTAACTGAACTGAATGATCTTCTTGTTAGGAACTACATACAGAAATATTTAGAGATAAAGGACATGATACATGCTAACTTACAAACTATTCCAAAGAAAGAGAAGCAGAGAGGGAGGGGGAAGAGAGAGAGAAAGAAAGGGAGAGGAGGAATGGGGGTGGGGGGGAAAAAGGAAGATAAAGTAAATGTAGCAAAATGTTATCTTTCCAGGGGAAAGATATTTGAGAGTTCTTGTAATTCTCTGAAAACTTTTCTCTAATTTAGGTATTTTCGTTTCTTTTTCTTTTCTTTCTTTTTTTTTTTTTTTTTAAAGATTTTTTATTTATTTACTCACGAGAGACAGAGAGGCGGAGGGAGAAGCAGGCTCCATGCAGGGAGCCTGACATGGGACTCGATCCCAGGTCTCCAGGATCAGGCCCTGGGCTGAAGGCAGCGCTAAACCGCTGAGCCACCCGGGCTGCCCAGGTATTTTCTTTTAAAAAGTAAAAATTAGTTAGGACCTGGGTGGCTCAGTGGTTGAACATCTGCCTTTGGCTCAGGTTGTGATCCTGGGGTCCTGGGATCGAGTCTTACATTGGGCTCCCTGTAGGGAGCCTGCTTCTTCCTCTGCCTATGTCTCTGCCTCTCTCTGTGTGTCTCTCATGAATAAATAAATAAAATCTTTAAAATAAATAAATAAAAAGTAAAAATAACAATAAAAAGCTTGGGAGATGGATGCCAATGGCTTGGCAAATAACCCCAGACAGTAAAGGAACACTGAAGCAATGGCATGTCACCAATTCTTTAGATAGCCCAGAGGACACCAGTGTGGGAAAACATGGGCATTCACGCCTGAGCAAAATAGGGGTTAGAATCAATTTCACGGTTTTAATAATGCACTATAGTTATAGTAGCTGTCACCACTGGGGGAAGCTGGGATGGGAGATGGGTATACAGGACCTCTCTGCACTCTGCAACTACTTAGGAGTTTACAATTCAAAACACAAAGTCTAAAAAACAACAACAAAACAAAACAAAACAAAAAAAAAACAACAATGTGGGACAGGAGTTGGACTCTGAATGTGAAGTTGTCTTAGGAATATCTTATTTATTTTGCTCTTATTTTCCTTTTTATGCATGTGCAAAAGTGACATACAATAAAAATCTAGGTCTAGAGAAACCTGAGGAGCTCATTCAGAATATGTACAAGAGACAAATTCTAAGTGATACAAGAAAATAGCTATGTGCTATTCCAACAAACTCATGTTGGTCAGTCTTCCACAGATCCTGTGCTCGATGAGGCACCGCAGATCACTCCAAAACTGGCACTCAGAGAACTGCATCATCAGACAGTGTGAGTGTCCCAACCCTATGTATGGGCAGGTGATTGCTCCATCCTGCCTCTCCCCACTAATGCCACTCCTGGGAGTGAGGAGACACCTGACTGGTGTCCTGGTCCCTTGCAGCATTTTTCGTCTGAGCTGGAAGCAAAAGGGGAACAATGGGAGGGACTGCCCAAAGTTTCCTTTTTGCTTTTTTTCCACAGGGCTGCCTCCAGCCTATAGTTGCTTGGTGACTGTGCTCATATTTAGATAAGAGGTGCTGGAATTTCAGCTCACACTGGTGTCTCCTTGTGTACTGTCTGTCTCCCAAAAGGGTTGTGTCTCTGCTGAAAGAACATACGAAGTCATTTAGCAGTAGCATTCGGGCTGCCTATCTGAGTGTGTGAATTCTGTCCAAGAGCCACAGATGTTTCAGTTATTTCCTCCTGGAGTTTGAGGGAATAATAGAAGGTTACTGTTGTCACAGTAAGGAGCTCTGCAGCTGGCCCCACTTCCTTTTATTACCATCCAATGTAAACAGATTAAATCTAACTGCTTGGATCACCAGAAGGGTACATTTTAAAACCAGAAATTCCTTATTTCTTCTCCCCTTTTCTTTGAGTACCCTCAAGCCCCTTTCAGATGCCATTTTTCATCACTTGGGACTCGGCAACTGGTGGCTCAGACTAAACACCTTTTTTCAAGTTCACACTCCTTTTTCAACAGCCTACGCTGCAGGAGTGGGCAGGGAGGGATCCTGCCCTTGAGGGCCATGTCTACTTACTGCAGTAACACAATGGGTTGAGTAACCCCAGGCCATCAATGGGGGCCTTCCCCTACACCTCTGGCTCAGCTCACCTCTCACTTCCAGTGGACTTCCTCCCTAAGGCCATGAGGGACTCCTGCACTTCCTGTACACCTAACTCCAGAAGTAAGTGGTTGGGAAGAGGGAGATCCTGGAGCTCCCACCTAATGGACCACAAGCAAGACAAGTGCTACAGAGGCTGCAGGGAGCTGGAGACAGTGTGCAGGTGTTATCACTAATAAGTAATGGCCAGTGAGATTGCAGGTGGGTCATCTAGTCCAGGAGTTTTTGGTACTTTGTTTCTAAACAGATCTCAAACCTCAGGTTCAGAAGAAATTTTACCTAAAATTTCATGATAAAAGTGACTCAGAACAGAACTGCTCTGTTTGGAGGGAGTCAGAGCCATGGTCTCCTCCCAACTCCCACAGCCAACATGTGATGGGGCACAGAGGAATACAGTTTGACAACCACGGGCTCTTTCTAAAGATGGAAATACTAGGCAAGTCTAGAGAGAGCAAAAACCCACCAGGTGGTCAGCTAATGGTGGACCAGAGTCTGCCTCTGCTTACCCCCATACCTGTGCTCTATGTCCTTAGAATGAGCAGTCTTGGTCCTTACAACAATCACCTCTAGATTCCAGGGTGAGCAACAAGTGCCCTGAGAGAGACAAATCATATTTTATCTAGTAAACTGATTTTGTGGTAACAGGGGCCTCATCAAATCCAGTTTAATGATATCCAGAGATGACTAGCTAAAGAGATCAATTACTTTCCATGGCAGCAGAAGAACAAAAACAGTCACTGGCACTGGGAAGGCACAGGGCCCTGAGAATGGCACTATGATCCAAAGCAAGCACCAAGAGTATGGGTGATGGAGTATGGGTAGAGGATGCACCAGAAGAATGAGCTCTACTTCCATACTCCTTCCTATCCCAGTCCTTCCTCCCCAAATGTGAGAGAGGTTATTTCTTTAGTTATTAGAAATCTTTTGTTTTCTCCCATACTAGCTGATAGGATGGCTTTAAATCAATTACATCTAATCCCACAAGTCCCTGGGATATAGCCATAAGGTATCCTTCCAGTTGTATTCATTCACCTTGTATTCACAGGGTTCATTTCTGTGACCTCCACTTTTCACTGAGACAGCCTGGTGCAGTAAAAGAGCTCCATGAAAGGAATTCCACTCTCTGACATCTAGACTTTGCTACCAGTTCTAGCTTGTCCATGCCCAAACTCTGTAACCCTGGGCAAAATCACTTAATCTCTCTAACCTGCGCATACAGCAGCTCATATAAAATCCTATAAAACAAGAGGCAGGCATTGCCAGAAAGATGAAATGAAATAAAGCACGTAAAAGACTTTTGAAACTATAAAGCCCATAAAAATGCAAGGTATCCATGTTATTATAATTATTTAATCAGTGGACCAGACACATTTTACTGCATCACTTCAGGATTGCTCCTAGAAATTCTTTCTTTTGGCTCCTGCCAAGATTGGAGGTACACCCACTGTCACCATGCGAGGAATGTAGGTTAGCTGCAAGTGTGTGGCTATGGGGTTCCCAGGCTGGTCTTCCCAGCCAGCCTCCCCTTTCTGTGGTGTCTGGAGCAAAACAACACTATAAAATAACCCTCAAGCAGCCAAGTGTAGAAAATTAAAGAAGGATCACTAATCCAGACAGGAAAAGGTCTGATTTATTGCTCTAACCGCTCTGTCATAAAATGGCAATGAAACAAAAACACCATTCTATAGGATGAAGGGAGAGGAAATTTAGAGTTGGACAGAAAATCCGAAGGAAATGAAAGTGCTAGTGTGCTCTGAAAAGTAACTCTCCAAATATGCCATTGGTCACCTTGATGTTTCCAGGCCTCCCCGATGCCTTCCAGACCTCAAATGCTCAGCTTGCACTGAGTGGAGGCCTCTCCTAGCTGCTGCTGCTACTAACTCCACTGGGGAGTCTCAAGCCTCTCCTGTGTCGTCACCAGCCACATGAGAACACAACCGAGAGGTAGGCTGGCAGGTGCAGGAGATGATGAACGAGATGGGTAGAGTTCTGGCCGCCCCCACCCTGCCCCGCAGCTGCACCGCACAGACCAATTAAATGTGTGCGGGTTGCTCATTCCAGCAGGGGAGCTTTTTGGGAATGGAGGTTGGCAGGAAAGGCTGCTCTTTCACTCAGTTTTCAAAATATGCCTTTAGATAAAGGCTTTCTATGAAGACCACCAAAGCTGTAATCTCTGAATGTGGTCAATGGCCAAAGGGCCACATTTAGAGTGAACAGAGCCATTTTCAAAAGCAGACATTAGGTCAGTGGCACGTGGAAGGGCAAACTGGACTTACTTGATCTAAATCTCCTTTCTCCATTGTCAGTTCCTCCATCTCTGGTGCTGGCTCATCTTCCAGAAAGGGATTGGTGGATGGGGGTGGACACTCAAGTTTTTTCTGTTAAGAAGACATGAGAAAGTGATAGGTATTTTGTGAGCATATTCTTAATACCTTTCCCAATTATCTGCTTTTTCTGAGTCTCTCCAACTGCCAAATTATGAAATTTGATCTAATGAACCAGAACTGAAACAACATGGACCACATTCTTACCTCCCAGCCTTTATACTACTTCCCATCTTTCTGAAACCTATTGCTCGCTCCACCCCAATCCCAAATCCAACCTGGCTAAAACTCTCATTCATTCTTTAGCCCTCAATTTAGAAGTCCCTTCTTCTGGGAAGCCTTCCCTGCCTTTCAAGTTTGGGTTAGATATCCCTGCTACATGTTTCCATACCACCCAGCATATACACCTACCTTGGTATTTATTAAAATATTGCAACTGTCCATTTATTTGTCTTGTCCCCACTAGATTTTATGATGGTAGGGATCATGTCTGTCCTTCTCCCTCCTCCAATATCTGGGTACCTGGAATTTCCTAGCTGCCCCCTAAATGTGAATGAATCAAAATGCTAGATGGAGTAGAATACAAGAACAAACTATAAAGCCAATCTTACGTGTTCTAGATTATAGAAAGAAGTCCCTTCCCAAATAAGTCTCATTACAATAAACAGCAAAATTCCTTGGGAAAAATTAGTTCTCAGGATCTGATTATGACCACTCTTTTAAAACACATCATTGAGTGGGACCACAGGATGGTGGAAAAGCTAGAGGCAGGAGGTGTGGTAAAGTTTTAGCTCCCTCAGCAGCACTGGCCAATCACCTAACTTCTCTTGGCCACAGCAGCCCCATATTCTGCATAAAGTCTCCTATTACAGGATTCCAGGAAGGGTCAGATGTGATAAAGGGTAGGAAAGGCAGCAAAGAACACATGACACATATAAGGGATCCCGGTGATGATAATTCCAGTGCAACAAAAGAATTGAGACAGCTCTTCGGAATTTTTTTTTTTTCTCACAAATTTGACCCCCAGATATTGCTTATACCAGGCAACTGAAAGAAAACTAAGTGGACAAGGAGGAGAAAAGGGATTGGCTAGCACTGGGGATGAGGGGAAGGGCAAAGAATGGACAAGAAGCCAGGTTGTTTGTTTTCTTTAAGATTTTATTTACTTGAGAGAGAGAGAGAGAGAGAGAGCAAGCGAGCATGTGCACAAGCAGGGGGGAGGGGCAGAGGAAGATGGAGAAGCAGGCTCCCCGCTGAGCAGGGAGCCTGACTCAGGGCTCAGTTCCAGGACCCTGAGATCATGACCTGAGTTGAAGGCAGCTGCTCAACCGATTGAGCCACCCAAGCACCCCAGAAGGTATTTCTACATGTACTTGGGACATCTTTGCATATTATCAGCAGACCAACTTGAACCAACCCCTAAGACAAGAAGGACAGCACACGGACTATAGTGTGAACAACTCTCTCAAGTGTCAGGAAGTATCTTCTGTCAGCTGAAGATATACGAAGAAAAAAAAAAAAAAGAAAAAGGAAAATCCTAACAAAAACAATTCAGGAAAATATAAAAAATTAAAACACAAAAAACACAAATCATGCCAGTGTCTGGTTTAGGTTTTAAGACCATACTGCTTACAATCATGTAAACTACTTAATTTTCAGCCTAAACACTCAGATGCTATTAGGTTGCCAGACAGACTCTGTATGAAGAAAGCCTTGTGATCAATGCGTTAGGTCAAGGTAATCATTAGTAGGACAATGATTTTTATGGTATCCTGCTGAGAAACAATATGGTGTAATAACCAAGCAAACATTTACAATTTATACACCCCAAACTTTGGCTTGCTTTGCCTGATACAGGGGAAAAAAAATTCCTATCAACTTAAAGCAAAATAGTTTATTTTTAGAATTAGGCCATTTTCAGAAAGTAATGTACGTTTGAAAGCAATGTTTCTAACGTATTTTTTTCTTTTTAAAAGATTTTATTTATCTGAGAGAGAGCACAAGCAGGGAGGAGAGGGAGAAGCAGGCTCCCCGCTGACCAGGGAGCCCAATAAGGGGCTCAATCCCAGGACCCTGGGACCATGACCTGAGCCAAAGGCAGATGCTTAACCAACTGAGCCACCCAGCCACCCCTGAAAACATTTCTAAATTCTTCTTTATACAGGATGATCAGACAAGGCCTCCTCAAGGAGGTGATATCTGAGCAGAGACCAGAATGAGAAGGAGCTAGTCAGGCAAAGATCTGCAAAGAACATTCTCAGCAGCATGACCTGGTGCAAAGGCTGGAATGAATTTGGTGCTTCTGAGGGACAGACAGGAGGACAAGGGGATGAGGTAAAAGAGGCAGCAGGAGCCCAAGTGCATAGCTTTTGTGGGCCATGGTAAAGATGAGATTTTCTTCTCATAGCAACTGGGTAATCATCAGGGTGGGGGAGGTTAAACAAGGAAGTGATATGATCTAATTTAGACTTTTACAGTATCATTCCACTGCTGTGAGGAAGATGAGCTGTAATGGAAGACCAGTCTAAGAGGCTGCTACTGTGTTCCAGGCAAAGAGTAATACAGGACTGGATTAAGCTAGTGCTGTGTAGATGGAAACAGGTGGCCAGATTTGGGACATATTTAGGAAGTAAACCCAAGAGGACGGGCTGAGAAAATGAATGTGAGGGTGTAGGAAAAAAAGGAATCAAAATTCATTCCTTTTTTGGCCTGAGCAACTACATGGCTGGTGTCGTCATTAATGAGTGACAAACCTGGGTTTGAGTCTAGGCTCTATCACTTGGATATGCTGCTTAGCTTCTCTAAGCCTTGGCTGTTGCCTGCAATGTGAAGGGACATTAATGCCCACCATGTGGAACTGCCTGAGGATCAAATGAGACTATGTATGTAAAGCATGAGATATGTATATAAAGCAGCTCAAACAACATCTGGCATGCAGGGAAAGCTCAGTAAGTGGGAGTTCTCATTCATATTTAATGGGGCAGAACTGTGGCGGTGCCTTTCTCAATGGAGCAACTCTCAAATGGCAAAGAAGTAGGAACACAAGACAAAAAAATTCTGTAAAAAGAATTTGTTTTAGACACAAAATGCTGTCCCTACTACTGTGCCTCTTTGGGATTTCCCAAGGAAATGAAAACAATGGGTCCATCAAATTACAAAGGTGTAAGCATGGGCTTCTCTTTTTCCCTAGTCTCCAAGGAAGCTCTCACAGTACAGCATGTACTGCTAACACTATGGGTAAATACTGTGTTAGAAAACATTGAGGGGTGGGGACACCTGGGTAGCTCAGCAGTTGAGTGTCTGCCTTGGGCTTAGGGCGTGATCCTGGAATCCCAGGATTGAGTCCCACATCAGACTCCCTGCATGGAGCCTGCTTCTGCCTCTGCCTATGTCTCTGCCTCTCTCTCTGTGTCTCTCATGAATAAATAAATAAAATCTTTAAAAAAAGAACAACAACAACAAAAAAAAAAAAACCCAAACATCGAGGGGCAGGCACAGACTCCTGCTGTTTGGTGGGCTGTGTTTCTGCTCGGACTAATTTGCTGTGATGAAAGAATGTCTTTGCAAGGAGCAATCACCAGCACAACTCGGCCTTCTATGCAAGAGCCCCGTTATTGGAGCCAACCAGACCACACTTCTCATTTCTTCTCTGCAGCTGTCATAGACCATAAAGAATTACAAGTTTGGGTTTAGATCTTAAATAACTCAAATGACATATTCCATGAGCTCTGGGTTGCTAAACAAAACAAAAACAAAAAAAAAATGCCAAGAACTGAACGACTTTCCAATTTAAAAAGAATTCATAATTTGTGCTATGATGACAGTTGACTTCAAGTCCATATGGGAAAGAAAAATTCTACATACAGCAAGTTAACTCCTACTAATTAAACACATGGGATTCCCACCACCTCCAAAAAAAATAAGGTCCATGGGATGGACAAGCGGTCTAATTTACTGCTAGGGAGAGAAGCTGGCTTTGGTCAGTAGTGTCTCTGCATCTGGGTCTGCCCACACAAATCCTTTTCTGAGGCCCTTGCTGGACACTTCAAATGATCAGAGAAGGAGCTCTGAAATTTAAGACTCATCTGTTTCCTTTTCCTGGAGGAGAAAGCTTTCACTTAGTAGACGAAAATTCCACAACTTCTGCATTTCTCATTCCATAAATACTTTATTCCAGCTCAACTCCTGATTTGTCCTTAAAGAGATGGCTTGGAGGCTTCAGCTGATATGACTGTAAACACAGGGCCCTGCACACCTGGTTTAATATTGCTGGGACCTCTCTCAGTACCACCACGCTCATATCTTATATTGTGACAGTTATGTATAGCTTCTTTCTCCACTAAACAATAGGCACCCGTCTGATTCAATTTTTCATCTTTTGCCAAGGCTATACACAAATAGCTTAAAAAACGTTCATGAGGAGTGGCTGGGTGGCTCAGTCAGTTAAGCATCTGTCTTCTGCTCAGGTCATGATCCCAGAGTCCTGGGATTGAGCCCCATGTGGGGCTCCCTGCTCAACAGGGAGTCTGCTTCTCCCTCTTCCTGCTGTTCCCCGTTTGTGCCGTCTTTATCAAATTAATAAATAAAAGCTTTTTTAAAAGTCTGTGAATAAATCTTGATTGGATAAGAAACACTCAATAAAATCCTCTTCAGACACGGGCAAAAGTTTCTATTTTCTATAGACAAAACAAAAAAACCTGTGTGTGTGCAACCTGTGTGTGCATGCGTGCATGTGCATAACTTATAGCACAGTCTCAAAAATATACCCCCAACTATTAAACAGTAGACATCTCTGGGGAGAGGAATTTAGAGTAATCAAGAAGGAAGACATTGTTCTTTTGAAATATTTTATTCTGGGATGCCTGGGTGGCTCAGCAGTTGAGTGTCTGCCTTAGGCTCAAGGCGTGATCCTGTGATCTGGATCTTGGACTCCAGGCAGGGAGCCAGCTTCTCCCTCTGCCTATGTCTCTGCCTCTCTCTCTGTCTCTCATGAATATGGAAATAAATTTTTTAAAAAATAAAAAAATAATAAAATACTTTATTCTGATAGAGCT